TCTCCTTCTCCCTCTCCCTCTCCCTCTCCTTCTCCTTCTCCTTCTCCTCCCTCCCTCTCTCTCTCTCTCTCTCTCTCTCTCTCTCTCTCTCTCTCGCTCGCCGGATTTGTGGCTCCCGCAAACTTGCACCAAGCAACCCGGGACCGCGGTAGCCCTTTTCGCACATTGGAACCAGCTCCTGCGCGAGATCGAGCCTCCGTAAAGCCCCACCTCCGCCCGAGATCCGCGGCCCCGGTCCTGCACCGGCTCGCCAGGGACGCTGCTGGCATTGAAGTGCCCACCAGGGCAGGCCTTAGCGCCATTACAGCGGCTCTCGCAACACCCCGCGAGCAAAAACAAAAATTGCTCCTTCAAGCGTGTAGATTCTGTTAGGATCTGTTCGCCGAAAAGAGGCCATCTCGTTGGGGCACCGATACCAGCCAGAGAGATCATTGGCTGCAGTGTGATCGAAGTCCACCTCTCCGCGAGACCAGAGTGAGCAGCTGACTTTGGGCTCAGCTGCGCTCGAAGCCGCACCGAGGCCCGGACCATGTAGCCGGGCGGCAGCTTCAGCTCCGTTGGCGTGCAGTCAATGGTGAGGTTGCCCATTTTGGGGCATGCGGTGCACCGCGCATCCTGCTCAAAACACAACAGGCTGGGCTAATCTCCAGCCTGGGTCTTGCTATTGGAGCTGTCAAGGCATCACTAAGATACAGCTGACACAGTCCCCACGATCCGGACACCGGCTTTCCGGCTCAACTGATTCCCTGAACCCAGCCTCGTCCGGCGCAACAAGGCGGATCTCATCTGCTGGGCATTCCTTGCACTCCTGGCCCGTGCCCTCTGCCAGCGGTTGGCGGCTCTCCCCTTGCTGACACAGGAGCCGCGTGAGATTCAGATGCTCGGCAGACAGCGTGCAGCCGGGTGCGTCGCGGCAGTCAACTCCGCCAACTGTGACGCTCGCATTGGCCCGGGCACCCACAACAGAAGAGGCTGAGGGAAGTCTCGAGCCGGTGCCAATTGCCACGTTGCCAAGCCTCGCATGGCCATAAGCGAGCTCTAGGCAGCCTGAAGTCGGCGCTTTGCAGCGGCTGCAGCGAATCTGCGGTGCCACGAGCTCTATTTGGGCGTAAATGGCGCCACCCGTACCATCGGCCTCACAATCCCGCACGAAGAGCGGAGCAGCAAACTCCGCCTCTCCGGCCAGGTAGAAGCAGCCGCCGTAAATCTCAGCCGAGCATCTGGACACGTGCAGCTGCACGGCCTGGCTGGGTGCCGTGGGCGTGTCTAGAGAATGAGAGAACATGTTGAGCTGTGTCTTCTCGAGAATCCAAACTCCGATCTTCGACCATGCGTATGGGTTGAAGGACCAAGTGACAGGCCGGAAGGGAAGCTTCCCGCAGCACTTCTACTCCCTGCCTTGTTGGTGATCCAAGAAGTGAAGATGCCTCCTCCTCGTTCTGCCTTGGAGTCGCTGATGCTCAGCGTGGCGATCTCCCCAATCGTGACGTTCTTCGAGAAGATGCCACCTCGCCACTATGTGTGTGTGTATATATATATATATATATATATGCTACCCCCCCCCCTCAGTTATCCACCTTTTTC